TAAAATTAGACTTGTTTGTAATTTATTTAAAAAAGGTAGTTTTATGTCCTTTAAACAAATTCAAACTCAGTATAATATACCACAAAAACACTTTTTTGGGTTTTTACAAGTGAGACATTTTGTAAATTCTCTTAAATTCCCAGTCAACCAACCTGTTTTGAACTCTATTTAGGTTCTTCTTAAATTTAATGAAGATGTACTCACTAAAAAGAAATTCATTTCTCTCTGTTATGGGAAAATACTGTCTTTGAATTTTGTTACAACTGATAAGGCCAGGGTTCGCTCCAAGACTTTTTTGAATGCTCTGACTGGAACATCTTCAAGGCTGCAGCCACATATGACAAATTGAATATTGGTGAGTATGCCATAACCGTGTCAGCCTACATCAACAAATGCATTGAGGACGTCAGCATTAAAAAGAACATCACCACCCGGGCCAACCAACCACCCTGGATAAATGGAGAGGTGCAGAAATCGCTAAAAGCACTGAACTCAGCTTTCAGGTCTGTTGATAAAGAGGCTCTGAGAACAGCGCATGCCAACCTAAACCGTTCCATCAGATCAGAGAAGAACCACAGCCAGAAGATCCAGGATCTATTCGATGATGACCGCAACACCAGGAGAATGTGGAAAGGCATTTGGATGATCGCAGACTACAACACACCCTCCCCCCCGGTAGATGCAGCAAACACCGACTTCCTAAATGAACTGAACAACTTCTTTGGAAGGATTGAGGCACTAAACAGCCTCCAGCAGTGAAAGCTGTTCCACACCAGGGGGAGGAGCCACTAAACCTGGACGTAGCTGAAGGGAGGAAAACTCTGAGGAGAGTCAACCCAAGGAAGGCCCCGGGGCCTGTAACATACCTGGGCAGGTGTATAAGGAGTGGTCAGATCAGCTGGCTGGTGTCCTCACAGACATCTTTAACACCTGGCTGGACCAATCCATAGTGCCAGCATGCTTCCAGTCTGCCTCCATTATTCCAGTCCCAAAGAAGCCTCAGGTCGCCTCCCTCAATGATTAGCGGCCTGTCGCTCTGACTCCCATCATGATGAAGTGCTTCCAAAGGCTGGTTAAAGAACACATCGTCTCCAGTCTGCCGCCAACATTCCACCCGTTCCAGTTCGCCTACCGATGGAACCGCTCCACTGAGGACGCCATCTCTGCTGCTCTCCACCTGAGCCTGGAACACCTGGAGGAGAAGAACACCCAGGTGCGGATGCTGTTCCTGGACTTCAGTTCAGCTTTCAGCACCATCATCCCACAGCATCTGATGGGCAAACTGGAACAACTGGGCTTCAATACACCCCTCTGCTATTGGCTGCTAGACTTCCTCACCAACAGACCTTAGTCAGTCCGGGTCGGACAGAACGCCTCGGATGTCATCAGTCTAAGCCCCTCCCCTCAGGGCTGCGTTCTGAGCCCCCTGCTGTTCACCCTGATGACACACGGCTGCGTCCCCAGGTTCACCACCAATCACATGGTGAAGTTTGCAGACGACGCCACGGTGGTGGGCCTCATATTAATGGATTTACGATCTGTGTCTAGATTTTATGGCATAAAGGTCTTCATGGATTCAGTCGGATTATTTTTCTCTGTTTCTGGATTTTCCTCCAGATCTTAACAGTGATTTTTTTTCCTCTCAGCCGTTTATTGAACATGTATGTCTATAAAGGTTATTTACAGCAGGAGTTCCAGGAAGAAACTTTTCTCAATATTAAACCAGTGAAATAAACATCAGATGAGGACAAACGGACCATTGAGGACGGATGGTTCTGAGATGACTGGACTTCAGGCTTAATGCTGGACTGGATGCTGTTTAAAGGTGAAACCTGAGCTCCTGGGTTATAGATGGAAATGACTCCTTCACTCATGATCCAGCCAAACATTTAGTTGGCATTATTTTATAGTATTATAAAGTCATATTGTATTCTTTATCTAAGCTAAGACTTTACACATTAAAGAGGAAAATACTGCATATTGGCACCATATATATTAATTCTCTGAACTTCCAGATCAATGTGTTTTTTTCTCCCACATTGTTTACATTTGATCATTTCTGCACTTTATAAAATGGAAATGTCATGAAAGCTGAACAAAACACAATCTCATTATTGCAAACAGTCGGTGTATACAATAATGAGAATAAAAGCTATGTAAGTCTAAGGAAAGACTGAGGATGATGATGAGAGAGGAAGCTGATCTTACCGTGCAGCAGGATCCCAAACGCCACCAACATCTTCATCATCTTCCTGTCAGAGAGCAACCAGGAGCAACTAGGAGAACCTTTCAGAGCCCTGGAGGACATCAGCTCCCAGCAGCTGATCACCTCCTGACTCTCTGACAACACTTCACCGTCTCTACACCTCCAGGAAGCAGCAGCTCTCACCCACAGGAGGAGGGAGGGAGGGAGGGAGGAACTGAACGCCACTCAGCTCTCTGATCACTGGGAGGAGAACGGCTTCTGGCAGGAGGACCAGAACCTCTGGGCTCAGAACTGGATCAGCTGCTGACCAATTTAGTGCTACTTGATCATTTCTATGCTTTATAAAATGGAAATGTCACGAGAGCTGACCAAAACGCAATTTCATATTGCAGAAACTCTCTGCTGGGTGGAGGCTTCAGGTCCTGTTCTACTGGTTCTGTTGGATCCAGTCCAGATCAGATCAGATATGAGGAAAGGTGGGGGCGTTCTGGTTCCTCATAGTTTCACTTCTGAATGTAATGCAGGTTGGAGTAAGTTACCTTTCATTTAGCCTTTCAGGTTCCTGTGTGTTTTCCAGCTGAGCAGCTCAGATCTACAAGCTTTATTCTCCAGCGTTGCTGCAGACATGCAGTCTGTAATTAATGCTCCTTTATTAAAGTTCAGCTGGAAAACAGGAAGCAGAGCAGAGATGGAGAGAAGCTCTGAAGCTGTGGGTTCAAACACCTGCTGACCGCTACTGTGGGTTTATATTCAAACTTATTATTTTAGTTGTAATTAAATGTTTAATCTGTAATGTTGTGTGAGGAGATACACATAGAGTTAATTTATCAGTCAAGATGAAGATCTGCCATAAAAACAAGAATAAATCATCGGTTTAATTAAAACACCTGCTGACCGCAACTGTGGGTTATATTCAACCTTCATCTTCGTCCCCGCTTTCCTCCTCTAAATAAAAAATGGATGACGGAGGAGACTCATCCACGACCTCTGACACTAAACTCTCCTCCTCTTGCATGTTTCCTCTGTCCATAGCGTTCCTTGACAGCGTCGTTTCTAATTCACCAATTTAGTGCTAGTTGATCATGTCTGCACTTTATAAAATGGAAATGTCACGAGAGCTGAACAAAACACAATTTCATATTGCAGAAACTCTCTGCTGGTTGGAGGCTTCAGGTCCAGTTCTACTGGTTCTGTTGGATCCAGTCTAGATCAGATATGAGGAAAGGTGGGGGCATTCTGGTTCCTCATAGTTTCACTTTAAATTTAATGCAGGTTGGAGCAAGTTACCTTCCATTTAGCTTTTCAATATAATGATGCAATAATCCAGAAACAGATCAAATAGGTAACAGATGAAAATAATCCATGTAATCCAAAGAAGGAAGCACCAGATTAATTCAGACTCTAAAGTTTCTTCAGTGTATTGGGGGTCTATAGTAACAAACCCCAGGAGAACCATGGATCCATCTACGCTCTGAATTCTCCAAACACACAAACAGGAACAAACATTCATGTTTTAGCATCATTGAATGAAAGAAGCTGAGAACCAAAGTTCAAATCCACACATTATTCAGAATGAGACCCTCAGATCTACAAATAGGTCTAGAACTAGAGAACTAGATCAGCATCCAACATTAAATGGGCGTTTATTTCCTTTCCTTCTTGATGCCTCCATCTTTTTTCTCCTCTAAAGCTTTAAAGCTCTGAATGACTTCATTAGAGGAATGAATCCAAAATGCACCAAAAATTATGTAAAAAGAAAACCAGCATTAAACATTTCCTTTGCTTTGCATAAAACATTTTCCTGTTTAATCAAACCATCCAGTCATTGGTGAGAATAAGAAGACGTTAATGTTCATCAGCTGTATTCAGATGGGAGGATAGTTCTGCAGTTTAGATCAAATGTTGGTTAATTAGATTATCAGTGAGACGTCCTTCATTTAACCTGATGATAAAAACACCAAAAGCATTCAATCTAATTTTATTTATTCCTCGTTGTGTTTATGTAGCGAGAGACGTTCCTACCATCAACTGATTGGACAGAATCTAGATTAGTTTTTCCCTCCAGGATCTGAGTCTGAGAAAAATCCTAAATATCTCTTTGCTAGAGAGAAAAACACTCAGAGGTTTTTAACTTTTAACCATTTTCAATAATCTTTCTGCTGCTGTAAATTTGCCCATTGTGGGACAATAAAGGGATTTTCTATTCTATTCTATAAAAGTGGTAGAAATATATAAGTAAATCTAAACAATGTATCTATAAATAATATATCTGCAAAATCTCTATTATTCAACAACAAAAAATACGTAGTTAAGCATATTGTGCAAAACAGCAATAAAAAATTTAACTCCTATCAGATTTATAGTCCCCCCCCTGCAGATCTATTAGAATCTGTCCTTAAATTCCAGCCAAACCCATTTACACAGTAACAGATTAAACCCTTTAGATAAACCAAACATTACCGCCACATATCTGACTCTATAACCATTAAAACAACTATTTTCATTCATTTCAGACGGAACTATTCACAGACTGGATTATATTAAACTGAACTTCCAATTTTCACCACTGTTCGGCGCCAAGTAACCTTTCCTCTGATCACAGCTTGCTTGGTCTCGCAATGAATCCTGGGATAACCAAGAATACCGAGGATACATCAGACCCGTCCTTCAAATCAGGCAAAAAGAAGGACGCATTTTAAGGCCGCATAACGAGGACTCTTGGAATCCGACCAGACCTCGGCGCCGTGCTATGACGTCATCGGCCTTCTAATCTGGCCGTCTGAGGACGCAGCCCATGAATTGGAACGCACCCATAGTCCCTCCATGGTGTCCTGGTCCTCCTGCTGGTGGGACGTCCCTCAGAGGGAGGCGTCCATCAGATAAAGATGATCCTCCTCAGCTGACTCCTCTGGAGGAGAAGCAGCTCTACTCTGACCCTCTCTCTGAGGGAGAGCCCAGCCTCCTGCAGAGGCCTCCTGGATCCAGGATCTGGTTCTTTGGGTCCTGGTCCAGATTAGTGACCGTAGGTGAGGTTAGGAACGTACACCGACCACTAAATCAGAGCTTTGCCTTCTCTCCCAGCAGATGGAGCAGCGTCTGGATTATAGCAGCAGCACCGATCCATCTGTGGATCTCCACCTGGATGCCTTCTCCAGATCCATGAAGACCGGTTGGACCCTGTAGAGAGTAGAACTAGACTCTGTTCCTCAGTCAGAACCTGTCCTCATAATCTATCGTTGGAGCAACTCCTGGTTCAAACAGACTGCAAGTAACACACACACTAAGTACATTTTAGAGACATACGGAATATTAGTTTCCTGATAATTTTTGTTTTACTCCGGTGAGTTGCTGATCTCATGTTTGAATTGATATTCCTTTTTCATCAAATAACGGATATCCAGTAACTAAAACTCTCAATAACAGTTTGGTCAGGTTTTAATTAGCTTTCTCTGATATACGGTATCATAGCAACATTTTCTATCTTTCTCTTATCTATAGGTACCTTTTCTTTAATAATGTGCTGCGTTAGAGATCTCTGAGGATTATCTAATATAAAACAAGCCTATTTCCTCACCTTATAATATATAACCTCTGGAGAGTTTTTTATTATTGTTATATTTTATCACCGAAGGCGTCTAAGAAAATTTGTAATGGTTTCCACTCTGGTGTTTTCCAGTCCACTCTCTCTGTTTAACCATGAATGGTGGATGAGCAGGGAGGCTGATAGTTTCGTATTGCTCCAATAATTTGGTACCAAATTGTCAATAGTTACCTTTACTTCTCCAAATGAAATGTTGTAATAACAGGACTGTCCATATTCTGCTCGTTTGTGAAGGTTACTACGCTGCTATCCCAGCATTGCTTCAGACACTGTGGGTGATTCTAATCTGACCCCTTTCCTACCCCCACCTTATATTTATATAAAGGGTTTATATAATCATATAAAATTTACTAATGATATTTAAATCAATACGATGTTGCTATCATTAAATACTTCAGTTTAGTTATTCAAGCTATCTCAGTCTAGCTTTTTATTATTCCTTCTTTTTTCTTAAATCTTCATCATTCCTTTTAAGCTGATTTATGAGGCTGAACTATTTACTGAGCTGTCTGCCCAAAACCTGTGAGCTGCAGGGCTGCTAAAGAGCCGGCTGCATGCCCCCACCTTCTGCTAAAATAAGGTCCTTTGTTATCCGAACTGGACTAATGGAGCTTTTAGACTTTACTTTTCTTTCTTTTTCTGGTAACCTAAAATATTTTTTTCCGTCCCTTTTTGTGTTTTGACCCATGGGGGACCATGCGTCAAAAGGGAGGACTAGGAAATGGATGGATAAAAATTGATTAACAGTACATTTTTCTCAAATAGCAACAAAGTTATGTAAAGATTGCTTATTTTGTGCAAGTCACAACATTTCTAAAGGATAGAAAATGACGGGCCAGGGAGCCACAAAAACAGCTGATGCTCCATTTCAACATCTAATGATAGATTTTATGGAACTAACTCCATGTGAAGGAAAGGAATGTTGCTTAATGATTTAGAGATGTTTTCAAGATGGATTGAAGCCTAACATTTAGCAAGTGAAATATTCCAACACATTTAATGTTAACCTAATGAGGCATTGTGTCTACCATCCACAGAACGGAGGAGCTGCTGAAAGAGAAATTAGATCTGGGAAGAAACGGGTCTGATTGGGTCTAAGCACTACAGATTGCTTTGATGCGCATGCGCCGCCGTAAAAAATCTAACCTCAAGCTTTTTTTTATTCTCTTTGCAGGACTGCCAGACACTCCTAGAACATCTACAGCTGCATATGATGATAAAATGGTTAATTAATGCATTTCTCTTATAGCTCAGCTGAAGGTGGTGAGGGAGCAGACACAGGGAGGTCTCCCTGCACCAGTTACTAACACATTCCAGGATTTACAGCCAGGAGGAAGATTGGAGATCCTGGAGGTGGATGGGTCCATTCCAGGTGTTGCTGACCACCTGCACAGCAGTAAAGGCCACTGATAGAACCACCTGGGTCCATGCTTCCCACTGCGAGACGTCCACAGGCAGAGTACCAGACCAGGCTAAAGAAGCAGACGAAGACAAGCAGTGAGACCAGGGAGCTGGGTGTTCATCAGTCATCAGAGAGACAAACTGGGCGGGTCCAATGTGGAAATGACCATTCCAAGTGCTCCTGACCACGCAAAGATGGTAGCAAAGATGGGGTTCCCATGGAGATGGGGCTTCTTTTGCCTTGTTGCTGTTGGGTCAGTATCTGTTTCAGTCCAGAGGTGAACCAGATGAATATAAACTAGTTGATCAGGTTGCTGCAACAATTTGCTGGTGGTTAATTATTAACAAAAATTAATTAATTATATGCATTATAATGTTCAGAAATTAGGTAACTGGACTCAAAGTGGTTTTATACTGTCCAAATATAGACATCCAAATGTCCATGTACAGCTTCAAATGTTTTTGCTAATATTTTACTCATTTATGTTTTGATGTATTTCCTGAATGGGGGTGGTTGCTTGGAAGCCTTGCTGAGATGAAAGGAAGTTATCTCCTTATAAGATTCTCAGGTGGTGGTGTGAATAGATAATTGTTATCTCTGTCCTTTGAAGAGCTAAATGTGTGTAGTCCTCTTTTTCTGGTGAGAATGCTGCAGCCTCAGAGCTTCACTGACTGCATTCAGGCTGGTCGCCATGTTCTCCTCTGCAGAGAAAATAAACCTTTCCTTCCTGTAATATCAACCCTCAGCGCTCATATTTATTTAACTCGACAGAACCTGCTAGCACTAAGTTGCTAACTGGTTAGCAAGATACGTCCGATTAACCGGCCACAATCGAACTTGGTTGCAAACCTTCAGCCACAGCAATCCCGCCCCCTTGATAAACGACCAATCACACTCCCTTTATTCACTCGTGTAAAGTCGGGCACCACTGGTTGGAACGGCCGCTTCCCTACGACATTAAGAGAAGCAGTCAATTCCTCCCATTAATAATACGCTGGTTGCTGCCTGGAGCTCAGAGCAGAGGGAGGAGGAGGAACCATGGAGGCTGTAGGCGCTGCTCTGCTGAGCAGAGAGGGATGATGGGAAATCTGGGCTCAGACAGGATACTAGAGAGGATTGCTGCTGGTGACCTTTGCCCTGCATCTGTAGGACCTTCATCCACCAGTCTGCAGCAGCTGGACCTCCTACCTCTATCGCCTCAGCAGGGATTGCTGCTGATCCTGGACCTCCTACCTCTATCGCCTCAGCAGGGATTGCTGCTGATCCTGGACCTCCTACCTCTATCGCCTCAGCAGGGATTGCTTCTGATCCTGGACCTCCTACCTCTATCGCCTCAGCAGGGATTGCTGCTGATCCTGGACCTCCTACCTCTAACACCTCAGCAGGGATTGCTGCTGATCCTGGACCTCCTACCTCTATCGCCTCAGCAGGGATTGCTCCTGATCCTGGACCTCCTACCTCTAACGCCTCAGCAGGGATTGCTGCTGATCCTGGACCTCCTACCTCTATCACCTCAGCAGGGATTACTGCTGATCCTGGACCTCCTACCTCTATCACCTCAGCAGGGATTGCTGCTGATCCTGGACCTCCTACCTCTATCGCCTCAGCAGGGATTGCTGCTGATCCTGGACCGCCTACCTCTATCACCTATGCAGGGATTGCTGCTGATCCTGGACCGCCTACCTCTATCACCTCAGCAGGGATTGCTCCTGATCCTGGACCTCCTACCTCTATCACCTCAGCAGGGATTGCTGCTGATCCTGGACCTCCTACCTCTATCACCTCAGCAGGGATTACTGCTGATCCTGGACCTCCTACCTCTATCGCCTCAGCAGGGATTGCTCCTGATCCTGGACCTCCTACCTCTAACGCCTCAGCAGGGATTGCTGCTGATCCTGGACCTCCTACCTCTATCACCTCAGCAGGGATTGCTGCTGATCCTGGACCTCCTACCTCTATCGCCTCAGCAGGGATTGCTCCTGATCCTGGACCTCCTACCTCTAACGCCTCAGCAGGGATTGCTGCTGATCCTGGACCTCCTACCTCTAACACCTCAGCAGGGATTGCTGCTGATCCTGGACCTCCTACCTCTATCGCCTCAGCAGGGATTGCTCCTGATCCTGGACCTCCTACCTCTATCACCTCAGCAGGGATTGCTCCTGATCCTGGACCTCCTACCTCTATCACCTCAGCAGGTATTGCTGCTGATCCTGGACCTCCTACCTCTATCGCCTCAGCAGGGATTGCTCCTGATCCTGGACCTCCTACCTCTATCGCCTCAGCAGGGATTGCTCCTGATCCTGGACCTCCTACCTCTATCACCTCAGCAGGGATTGCTGCTGATCCTGGACCTCCTACCTCTAATGCCTCAGCAGGGATTGCTGCTGATCCTGGACCTCCTACCTCTATCACCTCAGCAGGTATTGCTGCTGATCCTGGACCTCCTACCTCTATCGCCTCAGCAGGGATTGCTCCTGATCCTGGACCTCCTACCTCTATCGCCTCAGCAGGGATTGCTCCTGATCCTGGACCTCCTACCTCTATCACCTCAGCAGGGATTGCTGCTGATCCTGGACCTCCTACCTCTATCGCCTCAGCAGGGATTGCTCCTGATCCTGGACCTCCTACCTCTATCACCTCAGCAGGGATTGCTGCTGATCCTGGACCTCCTACCTCTATCACCTCAGCAGGGATTGCTCCTGATCCTGGACCTCCTACCTCTATCACCTCAGCAGGGATTGCTGCTGATCCTGGACCTCCTACCTCTATCGCCTCAGCAGGGATTGCTCCTGATCCTGGACCTCCTACCTCTATCGCCTCAGCAGGGATTGCTCCTGATCCTGGACCTCCTACCTCTATCACCTCAGCAGGGATTGCTGCTGATCCTGGACCTCCTACCTCTATCGCCTCAGCAGGGATTGCTCCTGATCCTGGACCTCCTACCTCTATCACCTCAGCAGGGATTGCTGCTGATCCTGGACCTCCTACCTCTATCACCTCAGCAGGGATTGCTCCTGATCCTGGACCTCCTACCTCTATCACCTCAGCAGGGATTGCTGCTGATCCTGGACCTCCTACCTCTATCGCCTCAGCAGGGATTGCTGCTGATCCTGGACCGCCTACCTCTATCACCTATGCAGGGATTGCTGCTGATCCTGGACCGCCTACCTCTATCACCTCAGCAGGGATTGCTCCTGATCCTGGACCTCCTACCTCTATCGCCTCAGCAGGGATTGCTCCTGATCCTGGACCTCCTACCTCTATCACCTCAGCAGGGATTGCTGCTGATCCTGGACCTCCTACCTCTATCACCTATGCAGGGATTGCTGCTGATCCTGGACCGCCTACCTCTATCACCTATGCAGGGATTGCTGCTGATCCTGGACCGCCTACCTCTATCACCTATGCAGGGATTGCTGCTGATCCTGGACCTCCTACCTCTATCGCCTCAGCAGGGATTGCTGCTGATCCTGGACCTCCTACCTCTATCGCCTCAGCAGGGATTGCTGCTGATCCTGGACCTCCTACATCTATCGCCTCAGCAGGGATTGCTGCTGATCCTGGACCGCCTACCTCTATCACCTCAGCAGGGATTGCTGCTGATCCTGGACCGCCTACCTCTATCACCTCAGCAGGGATTGCTGCTGATCCTGGACCTCCTACCTCTATCGCCTCAGCAGGGATTGCTGCTGATCCTGGACCGCCTACCTCTATCACCTATGCAGGGATTGCTGCTGATCCTGGACCGCCTACCTCTATCACCTCAGCAGGGATTGCTGCTGATCCTGGACCTCCTACCTCTATCACCTCATCAGGGATTGCTGCTGATCCTGGACCTCCTACCTCCAACACCTCAGCAGGGATTGCTGCTGATCCTGGACCTCCTACCTCTATCGCCTCAGCAGGGATTGCTGCTGATCCTGGACCTCCTACATCTATCGCCTCAGCAGGGATTGCTGCTGATCCTGGACCGCCTACCTCTATCACCTCAGCAGGGATTGCTGCTGATCCTGGACCTCCTACCTCTATCACCTCAGCAGGGATTGCTGCTGATCCTGGACCTCCTACCTCTATCGCCTCAGCAGGGATTGCTGCTGATCCTGGACCGCCTACCTCTATCACCTATGCAGGGATTGCTGCTGATCCTGGACCGCCTACCTCTATCACCTATGCAGGGATTGCTGCTGATCCTGGACCGCCTACCTCTATCACCTCAGCAGGGATTGCTGCTGATCCTGGACCGCCTACCTCTATCACCTCAGCAGGGATTGCTGCTGATCCTGGACCTCCTACCTCTATCACCTCATCAGGGATTGCTGCTGATCCTGGACCTCCTACCTCCAACACCTCAGCAGGGATTGCTGCTGATCCTGGACCTCCTACCTCTATCACCTCAGCAGGGATTGCTGCTGATCCTGGACCTCCTACCTAATGCCTCAGCAGGGATTGCTCCTGATCCTGAACCTCCTACCGCTAACACCTCAGCAGGGATTGCTGCTGATCCTGGACCTCCTACCTCTAACACCTCAGCAGGGATTGCTGCTGATCCTGGACCTCCTACCTCTAACGCCTCAGCAGGGATTGCTGCTGATCCTGGACCTTCTGAGAACAGATCCAGAGCTTCCCTGTCAGCAGACCAGTGTAGTTCAGCTCTGGTCAGTAGAAACCTTCCAGATGTTTCCTTCAGGTCCTCCTGTTCCTCTGAGCTCCTGCAGCTCGTTGTTTCTGCTCTAATGAAGGTGAGAGGAGCAGGGAGGACCTGATCTCCATGGAGGTCTACAGACCTACAGGGGACAGAAGACGAGGAGTCGGCCTGGTTCTGTTCTGGTCTTTATTGGAAAAGTGTCCTGATCACCATCAGTTTGGTCTCTATCAGCGATGCTTGGTCCTGCTAACACGGGCTGACAATAAAAAAGTAAAAAAGGAGGCGGAGCTAGAAGAAGTCCAGGTCATCAGGGGCGTCCAGGTCCCGGTACTCGATGATGGAGCGGGGGTCTCCTCTCATGCCCCTAAACACAAAGACACAGTCAGACACCTTCCTGGATCAGAACCGCCGTCCTCCCTCAGAGACCCCGCCTACCTGCTGCTCCTCTGTTTCCCTGGAAACCCTCCGCCTCTGAAGTTGTCATAGTGACCGCGGCCCGCCCCAAACTGGCCGGGGGGGAGGTGGGGTCCCAAACCTGAAGCACAGAGAGAGACCATCAGAGGAGGAGCTGCTCCGTCCTGGAGATGACTGAACCGAGGATTCTATCATTGAGGAGCAGGAGCAGGAGCTCCTCTCAGACCAGCTGAGCTCTGCTCCTCCTGCTCCTCTCTGACCAGCTGAGCTCTGCTCCTCCTGCTCCTCTCAGACCAGCTGAGCTCTGCTCCTCCTGCTCCTCTCAGACCAGCTGAGCTCTGCTCCTCTGCTCCTCTCTGACCAGCTGAGCTCTGCTCCTCCTGCTCCTCTCAGACCGGCTGAGCTCTGCTCCTCCTGCTCCTCTCTGACCAGCTGAGCTCTGCTCCTCTGCTCCTCTCTGACCAGCTGAGCTCTGCTCCTCCTGCTCCTCTCAGACCGGCTGAGCTCTGCTCCTCTGCTCCTCTCTGACCAGCTGAGCTCTGCTCCTCCTGCTCCTCTCAGACCGGCTGAGCTCTGCTCCTCTGCTCCTCTCTGACCAGCTGAGCTCTGCTCCTCCTGCTCCTCTCTGACCAGCTGAGCTCTGCTCCTCCTGCTCCTCTCAGACCGGCTGAGCTCTGCTCCTCTGCTCCTCTCTGACCAGCTGAGCTCTGCTCCTCCTGCTCCTCTCAGACCGGCTGAGCTCTGCTCCTCCTGCTCCTCTCTGACCAGCTGAGCTCTGCTCCTCCTGCTCCTCTCAGACCGGCTGAGCTCTGCTCCTCTCTGACCAGCTGAGCTCTGCTCCTCCTGCTCCTCTCTGACCGGCTGAGCTCTGCTCCTCCTGCTCCTCTCTGACCAGCTGAGCTCTGCTCCTCTGCTCCTCTCTGACCAGCTGAGCTCTGCTCCTCCTGCTCCTCTCAGACCGGCTGAGCTCTGCTCCTCCTGCTCCTCTCTGACCAGCTGAGCTCTGCTCCTCTCTGACCAGCTGAGCTCTGCTCCTCCTGCTCCTCTCAGACCGGCTGAGCTCTGCTCCTCTGCTCCTCTCTGACCGGCTGAGCTCTGCTCCTCCTGCTCCTCTCTGACCGGCTGAGCTCTGCTCCTCCTGCTCCTCTCTGACCGGCTGAGCTCTGCTCCTCCTGCTCCTCTCTGACCGGCTGAGCTCTGCTCCTCCTGCTCCTCCCTCTGCTCCTCCTGCTCCTCTCTGACCGGCTGAGCTTTGCTCCTCCTGCTCTGCTCCTCTGCTCCTCCTGCCTTTTATTCATTGAGCCTCTTTCATAGATATCAGGAAATGTTTTCTTAGAGGTTTAGTAGATAAACATGATCAAATGGACGTTAGCAGCAGCGCTTAGTTTAGAGAAAAGGAGAATTGACTGATGATAAGCAACTAGCTGAATGCTAAAGCTATTGCTGATCATCCATCCTACCTGGGAAACCCGGCATCGGAGGCCTGACTCCAGGAGGATATCCCAGAAGGCTTTGCTGCTGTGGAGACTGACCAGGAAACGCTGCCATCCCAGGAGGAGCAGCTGGAAGGAGGAGAGGATGGAGCAGTTAGAGTCCATTTAGATGCTAATGCTAATGCTAATGCTAGCCTTTCAGGAAACCTCTGAAGACTAAATGTCTGCAGAAGCAGGGCAGGTTGAAGGTGAGCGTTACCTTGTGTCGGTGGTGGGAGGGGCTTGTTCTCAGGGAGGGCGGGTCTCTTGGCGTCCAGCAGGTAGTTGTTAAAAAACTCCACTTCCTGTCTGACGGCGGTGACCTTTTCCCCGTGTTTGTTCAGGATGTGTTTACGGACAAACTCTGGAGCCTAAACAGCAAGGACCGCCGTTACCATGGTAACCAGACAGCAGGGGACAGCAGCGCCGACACTCACCTTGAACTTCTTCCCACTCAGAGGACACAGCCACTTATCTTTGCTCAGCTCCTGGGTGTTGGAGGCCAGGAACTTCTCCACCTGGAGACAGAGGACGGAGGGATTGCTGAGACAGAGGACGGAGGGATTGCTGAGACAGGGAGGGAGGCAGGGAGGGAGACAGGTGGAGGGAGGGAGACAGAGGGAGGGAGGTGGAGGGAGGCAGAGGACGGAGGGATGGCTGAGACGGTGAGGGAGGCAGAGGGAGACAGGCAGACAGGTGTACAGACAGACAGACAGGTGTAGGCAGACAGACAGGTGTAGACAGACAGACAGGTGTAGACAGACAGACAGGTGTACAGACAGACAGACAGGTGTAGGCAGACAGACAGGTGTAGACAGACAGACAGGTGTGGACAGACAGACAGGTGTGGACAGACAGACAGGTGTGGACAGACAGACAGGTGTAGGCAGACAGACAGGTGTGGACAGACAGACAGGTGTGGACAGACAGACAGGTGTAGGCAGACAGACAGGTGTGGACAGACAGACAGGTGTAGGCAGACAGACAGGTGTGGACAGACAGACAGGTGCAGACAGACAGACAGGTGTGGACAGACAGACAGGTGTAGGTACCTCTTGTTCCGGGTTCTTCTTCCCCAGTCTAACAGCTTCTTCTTCACTCAGCGTCTCAGACGGTGAGAACAGAGGAGCCAGACGCTCCTCACACATCTTCAGGTGTTCGTTCACTGTCCAATCAGAGCACAGCGCCATCATCATCATCATCATCTGAGGTCTATCAGCTGAGGCGCTGCTTTACCCGGTCTGAGCCTCTGCAGACGTTACTCTGCTGTGATTGGTCCTCTGACTCACCCTCAGTGGGCGTGATCTTGGCCACGGGCAGCGGTCCTCGTACGTGGATCAGGCCGCAGCGGTGCGGCATCTCGTCCTCGGCTGGATACTCGCAGAAGTTGTAGTAATCCACGGAGTGAACGAGGCGCAGGTAGAGCAGCAGGCGGTCCAGGACCTGGACACACGGCGCCATCAGAACCCACCTTCACACGGCGAGGACAGAGCAGGACAGAGCACCCACCTTCAGCAGCTTCTCATCCGTTTCCACGGGAACGTCAGAGGAGGCGGGGTTTTCCTCTGCGTTTCCTCCCGAGGCTCCGATTAGCTCCTCCTCCTCGGCGCTGACCTCCTCGATGAGGTAGTCTGTGATGTTCTTTAGAACCGGGTTGGTCTCCGCCTGCAGACAGAGCGTTCCTGAGGCATTCTGGGTAATGTGTGAACCGAGCGGCGGTTCTGGTGGGTCGGTACCTGCTGGCTCCACAGCTCCCCCCTCTGGTCCAGGCTGTGGATGAGGCGCGCCGACAGGCGGATGTCGTTCCTCACCACCGGCCTGTGGTGGGTCAGCCCGTTGACGGTCCGAACCCGCCGGCTCAGGTCCCGGTTCACCACCGGCGCCAGCTCACAGTCCCTGAGCTGGGAGGGGAACAGAACCAGCCGTTAGCCGCCGCGTTCTGAAGGTTCTGATGGAGCGGGGGGTTCTGCAGGTTTACCCGGATGTTCTGAAGGTTCCAGCAGGTCTCCTTGATGTTGACGCTGCGATCAAACGTCACCCAGCACCTCCTGAAGAACCTGCAACACATCCAGACCCGTTACACTGGTTCTGCTGCCAGACCCGGTTTGTTCAGAACCAGAAGTACCTTCTCTCTGGCTGAGGGTCTGACAGCGCCACCCGCAGGAAGCCGGGGAACCTGCGACACAACTGCAGACAGAAGCAGGTTAGTCTGGCGTCCATCAGAACCACGGCGGAGCCCCATGAACATCGGGTTCTCCCCGCTGACCCGGTTCTGCTGTAAGGAAGCGCTTCCTTACAGTAGAACCGGGTCAGCAATCCCTCCTGGGATTTGAACCCTCGACCGTCCGTACCGCTGTGATCTCGTCCTTGGAGACGTCTGGAGGGAGGCTTCTGATGAACAGGGAGGTGGTGAGGTGCAGTGGGCGGGGCTTGGGCGGAGCTTCCTTCTGTCGCTCTGGAACAAACAGGAAGACGTCCTGAACTGGACCGGAACCAGAACCTGCCCGCTGTCCCCGTCTGGGCTACATACCTTCATCTCCTTCCTCCTCCTCTTCCTCCTTCTCTCCGTCAGAGTGGGAGGAGTCAGAGTCGGAGCCGCTGCCCTCGCCGCTGTCCGCTGACAGGCTCCGTTTCCTCTTCCTGCCCTGAGAGGAAGAGGCGGGGTTACCGTCTGCTCCATCGATGACATCACTGATGATGACATAAACTCACCTTCTTCATCGTTTTCTCCTCCTCTTCGTCCTTCTTCTCCTCCTCCTCCTCCTCGTCTTTCTCCTCTTCTGGACTCCTGCTGCCTCCGTGGTTCTGACAGAGAGGAACATCGACATCAGGCTGACCCGTTAATAAACGGTACTGATCCAGAACCTGATGGATAACGTGATCAGTAACCCCGGATTCTGC